TCTTATCTGTTTCCAGGGAAGAAAATTACTCATTAATTGTTTTGCAGTTTGCTGAATAAATGAACATCTACTTTAGTTGAGTTGCCTTCTTCCTGATTCTTTTTTTATAGAAGTGCCACTCTGTATACCGAAAAGCCTCACATCTGAGAGATTCCTCTTCTTCATAATGAGCCCTAGAGTTTAGCAAGAACATACGAAGTGTCCAAGGTCCTACCCCATCCATATAACTCAGATCTGACAGGTGGTAGTAACAGAACCATAACTGATACAGTACAACGTTAGTGTTCTGCTGTTAGACTCTTTCCATATTCCAGAGTTAGAGTGAACTTTCTTTTGCGGGGAGGGGGAGAGAGGTACCAGGGATTGAACTCATGGGCATTCAAACACTGAGCCACATCTCTAGCCCTATTTTGTATTTTATTTAGAGATAGGGTCTCACTGAGTTGCTTTGTGCCTTGCTTTTGCTGAGCCTGGCTTTGAACTGTATCTTCCTATCTTCCTGCCTGATCTCCTGAGTGGCTGGCATTACATGTGTGAGCTATGGTGCCCCATAAGAGTGAACTTTCTGGGATTACATTTAGAACAGACAGTCATTGGTGGAACTTATTTTTAGCCTAAAAGAACATCAGGTATATCTTGAAGGTCTAAGTTTCTTCTTCCTTCAGCGTGGAGACAAAAAATTTGACATGTTTGGGGATGTTTAAATGGACTTAAAAGTTCAATAGTATGTGAATGGCCTTAAAATGTAAATGATGTACACCTATGCTGTATACATTTTGAGTGGTATTCATTCTTACAGTGTTCGTCAGTGATAGTAAGCTCTACTGAGACCTTTCTCTTAGAGATAACACTTTTCTTGAGGCGTATCTCCTTGATCTTATGCTACATTTGATACTACGGATCTTCTATAACCAACAGCTTTAAGTTCCCCAGATACATACCCAATATTCTTCTTTTTGACATTTTCATCTTCCTTCCTAACCTTGCCACCAATTGTACCTACTTTCACATTACCTCCAGTTTGGATTATCATACAGGCTCCCTTTCTTCAAATCCAGTGTGCCAGGATGACTAATCTTCCAAATATCCACACTCTAGCCTAACCTCAAAAACCCTTCCACCCACAAGGCCTTTACCTCTTCTGCCTCACTTCCTTTATGTTTTTCCTAGTTTCTCACACTCTTTAGATGCATGTGGGCTTTTTTATAGTCTGAAACACATGAAATCTGACTTTTTCTTAGGGCTAAATGAGACTGGGAGTTTTATTTTATTGTATTACCTCCAGTATGCAGAACAGTGCATGTAGATTAATAAACATTTATTGAACAATGAATCTAATAGATCATGTAATTTCCAATCCATTCAACCACATTCCCCACTAGCCTATAAATACACTTCACTATCCATCCACAAAGGTTGTTCTCCCTGGCCATGGAATTTATTTTTTATTATGTCAGGTACATTGACCTTTTTCTTTAAACAGATTAATGAAGTTCTAAAAGACAGAGGCCCTTTTTATACATTTTTATCTTTCACACCTAGTAGAGTTATGAGCAATATTTGGTATATATTTAGCAAACATTTATTTGTTTCTTACTGTAACATTATATAGCTTATCACTGAGCACTTTTATATCAGTMGGGCTGAAACGGAAATAAAATTGGGTCAACCCCATACAACACTGGCATTGGGCCCATGGACAGAGACAGGGTGAGAGCTTTCTTGCTAATGTCTATTTAAATAGCAAATGATAGTTTTCTGATAGGAGGATGTAAGGAGGAAGGTCTCCCTTGGGAAGATATTTTACTTCCTTACCTATGAATTTAGAGTCTGTCTCTATGAGTATTAATCATCTTCCCCTGCTGAGTTGCTAGGGTCTAGGAGTTATTGACTTGCCAGAAAAAAAAAAAGTCTTCTTCAACTTCTTAGTCTTCTTTGATTCCTGTGTATACTCATCAACCCCAAGTTTTTTTCCTAGCAGCATTTATGTCCCACATTTCTTTTAAAATCCTGCTTGCTTCCTTAGAACCTAACAAGGTCATGGCCTCCTTGTCTTGTTCTTTTCTCCCCTTCTCCCTGCACAAAGTCCTCCCAGAATAATTTCTTATTAAAATAAATTTCTCAAACTCAAATTCAGGGCCTCTACCAATGGTTCTAGCTTAACATTTCACTGTGGTTTGCTACTGTTTCTCAAATAAATCCGATTCTTGGCATGCTCACTTTCTTCTTAGTGCCTTTGTTTAAGATTTCTTTTAACTTTCCCCCTATACATCAATCCAAATGACAAATTTCCATTTTGTTGTTGTGGTCATTAGAAGTCTTGTCTTAATTTATATGGATTTTTCCAGTTTACCAATTGGAAATCACAATAGAATCCTTGATTATTTATGTTGAATTATCATTTTATGCTTCATATTTTACCTCCTCAATAGTGTTGTGATTTTCTTGACAACAGGGATTTCATAATTCTTACAATCGGCACTGCCATTGGCCGCTCTGAGGATGCCTGTATTTGGTTGAAACAGGGCTCCAGAACTCTGGCCAGCACTGTCTGCATCCTGCACATGACCCCTAACTGAGATGAAGGTTGTACAATAGGAATTGTTGAAAACAATAGGACAAAATGGCCTCTGACAGCAATACCTTCCTAGCTAAAGTCAAGTTCAACTTCATAGATCACACAGACTTCTTGGGCAGAGCTGCAAATCAAAGAATTCTGATGTTGAATAGCTTTAGGTCAGTTTTAACTGTAAGCTGAATGTTGGCAAATATGTGAGGAGATCTGAGTTTGAATCTCAATTGTTTCCAATCAAACTGGATAATATTGGGTATTCAATTTACCCTCTCTGGGCTTCAGATCTTAATCAGTAAAATGAACAGATTAGATTGCAGATCATCTTAAGGACAAGATTATAAAATTATATGATTCTATTTCCAAAGCAATGAAATGGCAGCCATAGCTTTGGGGATTTTTCAGACACTTAAAWTTTTTTTTTTCTGTTTTTTTTKGTTGTAGATGTACACAATACCTTTGTTTTATTTATTTTTTAAATGTTTTTAAAAATTTATTTTTATTATGTTTTTAAAATTTATTTTTATGTGGTGCTGAGGCTCGAACCCAGTGCCTTATACATGCCAGGCAAGCACTCTACACTGAGCAACAACCCCAGCCACTTTCAGACACTTTTCTATAGAAAAGGATTTACTAGTTTCATGTGCAGTTAGGAATACTCACTTTTAGCTTTTGGTGTTTACTCTTTTCTGTTTCTCAATTTGTGTGAAAGTGGATGGACAGATGGTTTATTAGGTTTTCAAATGCTCTTAATACTGTTCAATTAAACAATGGCTCTAACTTTTGAAGGTCCACATAGAGTGTGTACTCTGTTTATAAGATAGTTTTAATTGTTTAAGGAAAATAATATTTATTCCCATAACTTAAAGCAACTAGTGCATGTAAATCTAAAGGCCTACACTTAATTCATTTTTGCATCACAGCTTAACTCTGCCAAGTTGCAGTTGCAGTTTTAAAAATGAAATTACCACAACTGGCAAGATAAGGCACGCCTATAATCCCAGTAGCTCCAGAGGCTGAGGCAGGAAGAACACAGCTTCAAAGCCAGCCTCAGCAAAAGCAAGTTAAACAACTCAGTGAGATGCTGTCTCTACATAGTGTACAACCAGAGAAATAAAAAGTTGAGTTCCATTTGTGTATAATGAAATGCATTCTGCTGTCATATATAACTAATTAGAACAAATAAAAAATTAAAAAGAAATCTAAATAAAATACAAAATAGAGCTGGAGATGTGGCTCAGTTGTCAAGTGCCCTTGAGTTCAATCCCTGGCAAAAAAAAAAAAAAAAAAAAAAAAAGTTACTAAAGTAACCAGATACTCAGTTACAATAGCATGTTTTGCCTTTGCTTTAATCACTTAACCAACAACCTCCATCCAAATACAAAATCCAAAATTTCCAGAATCTGAGGAAATTAAAAGAGGAAGAGACTCGAATTCCTCATTTTACAGATAAGGACCCGAAGCTTTAAAAGTTCCTGGTGCTGTTTCTACTGTGTACTGAGTAAATAAAAGCTTTAGTGAAGTTAGGTTGAAGGGGAAAAGACATTCAAAATGGGCGAATTGTCAGCCCCAATGTAAAAAGTGGTCAATTACTACTGCACAAAGGAAAGTGTAGGTGGAACTAGGCTAGTCAGAAGAAGGTCACTACTGTGTCGCCTTGCCTTATGATTTTTAATTGCTCACTATGACTCTTCATGTAAGCGGTACCGCGAATACGCAATTGTTGAATACCCTAASTTCATCTTAAGTGTGTGTAACAGTGAGAACCAAAAGGATGCGCAAAATGTGGATAAAGAAAAAACGTGACCCTGCCAGCAGGGATCCAAGAGGGGTTCTGAGTGAGAGAAATTAGGACGCCTGGCACAGCAAGAGCCCGGGAGGTAGGAGCTGCAGAGCGCATATACAGCCAGTGACGCACGGGGACCCTGAGGCTCCAGCTGACTGGGGAGAGGATCCGGAAAGGGGACAGAAGGGGTCGGCAAGAAGAAGGGAGACCAACATAGTGAGTGAGAAGTGTAGACCCTGCGGTAGGAAAGAGAAGACGCCGACACGAGCTTAGAACAGGACTAAAGGTTTGAGGAAAGAGTACGAATAAGCTGAAGGGGCGGCCGAGGATGCTGACGTGATGGGAAAGGGCACACAGGGCGGTGGGAAGCCGAGCGAGGCCTGCGGGCAGTAGGCAGGTGTGAATAGCTCGGCCGCCGGGCGCAGCCCTGTAGACAGCGAGGGCGGAGCGGCTGCTGAGTCAGGGACCCAGAGCCCGCCGATCTGCAGCCACACCGGGGGCGGAGCCTAGGTCCGGGGGCGGGGCGAGGGCGGGGCCCTCGCTTGACGCGCCCGGAGGCCGCGGCAGCCGCGGGCCGGGAGGGGCGGTGGCATTGGTGGCGGCTGCGGGGGAGGGGCTCGGCGTCAGCGCGTCGCYGGCTGGGCCGCGCCGGTGGCCAGGAGGGAGAGACAAGGAGGAGGAGGTGAGTGGGCTCCGGGCTGGGAGCTGCGCGGGCCGGCGGGGAGGCGGGGAGCGCGGCCCCTCCCCTCTCCTCACGGCGCCCGCCTCGCGGGGCCGCGCTGTGCGGAGTTCCCAGTGGGGCTGCGGCGGCGGCCTCGCGAGGAGCGGAGGGTGGGAGGAGGGGCGGAGCCGAGGGCTGCGCGCTCCTCCGACGCACGCGCCGCGCTCCCTCCGCCGCTGGTGCGCCCGGTTCTCGGATCCCGGCGTCCGGGGTCGGGTGTCCTGGCGACTGCGTATCATTCCTCTCGTAAACTGGCTGACTTATAATTTAGTTTTCTTGGTGTCTAAACGTCTTGTGTGCCGGCTTCTTGAGGCCCTTGCGTCGCTTCCTCCTCGCGCGGCCTGCGAGGGTAGTTGGAGGCRCGTCTCCCTGCGCAGGGAGAAGGGCGGTCCGGTCCCCTTGGTTGCCCCTTTGGCGGAGGGACCTCCCAGCAGACCTTCAGGCTGCCTGTCTAAACCCGCCCCAGGCCCTTGCCGCCCTCACAATCCGGTTATCACGGCAGCGCTCCACTTTCCACTGTTAGCGGAGACCAAAGACCACACTTTGCACCTTTGCTCCCGCCAAGCCCCTTTAAGGATTGAGCACATACTTAGTATTTCCATCCGGACCCAGATAGTCAGTCCTTTCGGGTGGAAAGGTTTTCTTAATCTAAGTCTTGTAATCCAACCTTGTACCGCACAGCGAAGTTGCAGTAATACGTTAATTTAACCGTTGGTCCTGGGGTGTGTGTGTTTTTTTCCTTTAGCAAATCGAYTTTTAGAGTCTTAGAATTATGTTGCATTAGATTATCTTTGAGATAATTCTTAAGTTAATGCTTGAGGCCCAGTGATGGGAGGTTCAAAGAAGAGGCTTTACATTTTTTCCCTCTACCTGTATCACAGTTCGAAATGGAAAACGTGAGTTGAGGGTGACTTTCCACAGGAGGTGGATTTCAGTTCGCAGCCCCCAAGTGCTCAGGCTTGCCTTGCTTATTTGATGCTACCACTGAAGTTGATTTTAAAGCTTCACATAGTGATCAGGTAAAGGAGCTGCAGAAAAGAAGTTCAGTATAATTCAATAGAGCTATTTTATTGGATTCTATTAACCTGTTTAACCTTAAGCTTTAACCATGACAGGATTTTCATGTAGGAACCCACATACCAAGTGCAATATTGAATTTTAATTAATGCATTCCAGGTCTGATGTGGCATAGATTCCTCTCAGTTTCCACTCTATTTTATTATACATTTTCCCTTAGATTTCTATATTGTATTTAATGAAACAGTTTTAATGTTGAGGGTTGGAGGAGAACCTTTTGAATTATGAAACTAGCATGCTACTGAGAGAAAAATGGGATTTTATAGCATTATTATTTTGGTGGCTTCTTGAAGCCCTTGCTTTAAGATGGCTTCTTTACTCATGTTGAAAACATGTTGACATTTTAATGTTAAGATCCACAGAAGTATAAAATTTTTGCTTTGTGGGGCTGCAGTTGTAGCTCAGGGGTAGAGCCCTTGCCTAGCATGGGTGTGATCCTTAGCAGCACATAAAAATAAAATAAATAAAATAAAGGTATAAAAATACAATAACATTAAATTTTATTTTATTGTTTTGCTTTGTACAGGACCTTAGCAGTGTAATCCAACTCCTATTATTTTACAGAAAAATAAGGAATCCAAGAGTTTCTTGAAGAGATTTTGCAGGAGCTGAAGAGAACTGGTTGTCTTAATTAACTAAACACTTATCTAGGTAATTCAGACCTCCCCAATGGATATTCTTGTGCCAGAGTTTATCCTTATTATTTTTATTACTATTTTCTTTCAGTGCTGGGTATCAAAAATCCAGGACTTCAGTCTGTTAGCAAATGCACCTGAGTTATATTCCCAGCAAACTCCCCCCCACCACTGTTATCTTAAAAAAAAGCCAAGTAATTACTGATTTTTTTTCTTTTTTCTTTTTTTGCTTTGAGTATGTGCCTTACTTTGTKATTTGGGCCCACTATATAAAAATATACAAATTATTTATACTTAGAAAATATGTACATTCTTTCAGTTGAAACATTGATTTCTGATTTAGTTTGCATTTAGTGGTTATTTTTTACATCTTTATTCATATTCTTGATTCAGGTAGTCTGTGTTACTGCCAGCAGATTGGTATTTAGAGAGTTTTAGGATTGTGGTGTATGTGACTTTGATATTAATTAGGAAAGGAGGTCTAGCACCCATGTAATAATTTAATTGCAGCATACCCAACATCACTTTTTAACTGTGCCTCAAGTGCAGGAGTCTTGAAGTTCTTGTTTTCTGGAGTGAATTTTTTGTATTTCTCTCAGCTGTGTTTGGATTAGGCATTTAGTAAATACCTGTGGGTTGTGTGCACTCTCCTAGTAGGGGCTTCCTGAAAGTTGGACCATGTCTTATTAATCTGTGTAGTAGGAAATGTATAAATGCTTGTGATCTTGTTAGTATAAAAGTGCCTGGAAGATCTGAATCATGATATAGTAAACTTGAAATAACTCATTTTCATCTTGTGTTGAACCAGTTAATCTGAATTCTGATATTGAAAGATAGCAGGGGTCAAATAATTTAGAAAAGTTTAGAGGACTAACAATATTAATTTTGTTCTTTAATATTTGTTAGTTACTGTGAAATTAGGAAAGGACACCATTATTTAAATTTAGTGATAGAACAATTCAATCAGACTGGACGAGTACAAAGTTTCTAGCAGACTGAATTTTGATAACCATGAATTGATGACCCTCTCATTGTTTCTGTAGACCACATTTTGAAGCATTGTTTTCACTTTATAAGGATTTATTTTTCAGCATGGACACCTTTGTAAGGAATATGATTTTTGGAATTTAGACTACTTTGGCAAACTATACTGAAATGATATTTTTAATATTTTAAGCTCAATTTAATAGGTTGTGCTTCATGCTGGTGAATCTTTTTTTTTTTTTTTTTTAAAGAGAGAGTGAGAGAGGAGAGAGAGAGAGAGAGGATTTTTAATATTTATTTTTTAGTTCTCGGCGGACACAACATCTTTGTTGGTATGTGGTGCTGAGGATCGAACCCGGGCCCCACGCATGCCAGGCAAGCGCGCTACCGCTGAGCCACATCCCCAGCCCCCATGCTGGTGAATCTTAAAACACTTTAAAAAAGCCAAGTAATTACTAATTTTGTTAGACTCATTCTTACCTATTCTTCAGTAGATCAGAATAGTGTGTTCTACTTATTAAGRAAAAAAAAAAAACTAAAGAAAGAATTTTAAGCTTTTTTATCCCTGAAATTATCACCACTTCATCTTTTGAAGAACTTTGCTAAAATTGTGGTCTAGAGCTTTGGTAAAATTTCCGTCTAGCACATTAAAAGCCAATTCCGTAGAGTGATTCCTATTTGAACATATAGAGTCATATAGACAATAACCTTCTTAGGGACAGTATTTTTGAATTACCTTCATTACTCCATTGATATTATTACTGAAAACAAATGTACAGTAGAGTTGGATGGTGTTTAATTTGTATGAAGCAGTCATCTCACATCTATTCTTGCTGGTTCACTTGGCCTACCCAGTGCCAGATAGTCCCTTTCACCAAGACTGAAAATTCATAAAGCACCTCTCTCCCTGTCCCAGTCCTCTGCAGTGAACTGGTGTGGAGTCATTCTGGTGCCCTGAACATCTGTTGTTCACAGAGGTACGATCTAACATCATATCCTTGGCATGTACTCAAATTTACCTCTCAGATTTTTATTTTAAACACATTTCCTATAAGGATTTTTAGAAATATATAGCATAAACTTCTTAACAAAGTATGTATGAATCATCTAGAATATTTCAGTATTATTATAGATAGGATTAGGATTTAGAATTAGACAATAAGAATTAGAATGTTTAGTACTTTTCCCCCACACTTGCTAGGGTCACGCTTATGTCATTTAAACAAGTGATGAAATTATTTTTTGAGCTGAGTGTGATGGTGATTATCTGTAATTACAGTGATTTGGGAGGCTGAGGTAGGAGGATTGCAAGTTTGAGACCAGCCTCAGCAACTTGGCAAGACTCATCTCAAAAAGGACTGGTGATGTAGCTAAGTGGTAAAGTGACCACTGAGTGGTATATGTATACATATGTGTGTGTGCATTTTTTTTTTTTTAAAGCGTCAGAGAAGTAATTCCACAGTTTTCCTTTAGTGGTAAATAGTCTATTGATTTGACATATTTCTTTTGTGGTTCCTTTTTGTATTCCCTGTCCCTTGTGGAACTGGAGCCTTGTTTTCAATATGATGAAGTACCATAACAGCCTGGCCAGTTTTCTCCTAGCCGTTGCTCCTTCCACTGGGGAGCTGGGACTTGTTCTTGTCCCTGGTAGATAGATGGTAAAGGTATTGTAGAGCCAGTATACTGTGATTTTGCCTCTTGGATTCACCCTCACCAGATTGACTCCTTAGATACTGAGAGCTGTTACCATTTTGAATGTTTTTTGAGGATTAGAGTTTCATTTGTATTAGGGACTCTCAGATATCCTAGGTTCATGCATTCATGAGTTAGACCCCTTTTCTGATTAGCCTTCTGTTCTGTTCTCTGCTGCCTTCTTACTGGAGATACTTCATGCATACTTTTTGTCCAGTTCAGTGATAGCTAATTATTTTCAAGTGTTTGATTTTTTTTGCCCTTGTCTTCTCTCTGTTTTGGACTTTTATTTGATCAGGTGGCTGTTATATATTCTTATAGCAGGTCATTTCCTATGTTTCCTCTAGACTATATGTACCCCAAGGGTGTGACTGAGTGAATCTCTCTTGATCTTGGTGATGTCCTCAATGCTCTGTATAGTTCTTGGCACATAGCAGGTTTTAGGTAAGTACTAATTAGGTATATTCATTCTAATAACAGGTTCTATATCAGTGTCAGAAACCAGTGTTCATAGAGAAATTTCAAATTCCTTCAAGAAGTGTAGATATTACATTGCCATCATTAGGAGTAGAG